GATACCCGGACAATGAGAGCGGGCACTAGTGGAGGCCCGAAGTAGGCTTAAGCAAACTCCAGTGTGCCGTGACCTGTTGTAAATTTCTGTAGAATAGTGTCGCTCAGGCATGTCTGAATTCTGCTCCAGCCTCTGGATACCAATGACTTCATGTCTCCTTCATCCGAGCCTAGAGACGCCACGTTCGTCGGAAGAAGTCCATGGCTGCGTTGGAGGCGTAGGCTGCACCAACAGGGGCAGGCAGTCTGGTTGCCGTCTGCACAGCCTCGCCCTCCCGGAGCGCCATCTGGTGCTCGGTTCACTCGTCCTCCTCAGCAGTATCATCCTAATTGTGCTACAGATCAACATCGGCCTAGTCAGCCCCGTTTTGCCGCAACAGGAAATCGCCTATATGGTCGGTGTGCCCAGCTGCTTCACCGGTTGTCTTGTCCTGCTCACAGTACTTTTCTCCAAACCAACATTGCTCATCTTCTCGCTACTTTCGGAGGCCATTGTGATGTGTATCTCTGTGATCAGTGGCATCCTGCTTGTGGTGAAGCAAGCTCCGCTGCATGAAGCGGTCGGCTTGCTTTGTCTAATCACAGTATTCCTGCAGCTGATGCACGCCGGCTTCTCGTGCTACGAACTGTGCCAGAGCGAGGAAGACCGTGATTCGGGCGAGTTATATGGTTGCGGTGCGGAAGAGGGGATGAGTGAGGAGGCAGCAACCAGAGAGCAGGGAGCATGCTCGAGGATATGCCACTGCTGTACCAACTCGGCTTACCAGCCCAGACGTCGTCGGCAGGTTGGGGAGGCGGCAGCTAGCAGATACCGGTCTGCCTCCTTACGCCTCTGCTCGGAGCCCGTAGAGCCGCCGTCCTATGCTTCTGCATTCGAGTTTGCCCAACACCGTGAGACATTGAGCCCCATCGAGACGATGACTCGGGCGGCCGGAAAACCGGCAGAAGAGCCTCGACCACAATCGCCTCCATCGTTCGCAGCGGTCACTTTGGCCCTGTCTCGTCTGTCCAGCCGACGGTTGAGACATCGAAGGAATGGCCCCCGGAAACAGACGCCTCCAGAGAGACTTACCTTAATCTCAAACTTTCGAGCATCGGTTGCAGCCAATGTAGCACCGATCTCGTCTCAAGCCGGAACATTTGGCTATCGGTGCTATACCATTTCAAGTGGTGTACTAGTGGATACTGGCTCTGGATCTCACCTAACCAACCTTCCGACATCGCATCAGCCTAACTTGGATGATCAACTTTGCCCACTTCCACGATCAAAACGTGATGGCCAACCGCGAAAAAATAACACTTTGCTGGCTAATGGTATCCTAATGATGCCATTAAACTGGGACAAACCACGCAGATCAAGACTACTCAACCAAGTAGAACCGATGAGACATAGTTCCAGACGCTGTCTGTCAGAATCAGATCTTTCCTATGTGAATGGGACTCAAATCATTCGACTGACTGCAGGATCGTCTGAAGGCAACCTACGAGAGACGCAAATTAGGTTTGGAATCAGTTCTCCGATGCCGCCTGAGTCGCTTGCACCTCCACCGTACAAGTTTGAAAATTTGAGCAGAGATCTGTGAAATAAACTAGTACATGGACACTCTACTAATAAATCCCTTTAATAAATAAATTTTATTTAATCTTATTCGGCATCAGTCTAAATGATGGGGGGATCACAAAGAGGCCTTCGAGTAAATTTATAGAAGGTC